CTTATGCAAGCAGATGTTATTATTTTTTTATCATTCAGGATTTTTCCCACTTTTTTTTTAATGTTCCCAATGTTCTGCTTATCTGGTACTCATGCCCTCCTCAGGGTCACTGTGCTTTGACTGTGAGGGGGAAGAGAGACCTGAGATCACATTGCAGCACATTGATTTGGAGCAGGTGCAGCTTTGAGATGGTTTCTGCTATCTCAGCCACCTCCTACATTCCCGTCTGGATTGCAAACTTTATTTTTTGCTCCCCTTTTCCCCTCTTGTCAGGAATAATTTACTAAACATGTCCTTCATCTCTTTCCAAAGGTAAAGCTTGTGGAAGGAAAATAGCCAAGAGATGCTGAGCCTCATCAGGGTTTATTTCCCTGCACTTAAGCTGTCAGCTGTCAGGGTTGGGATTTCCTATTGGTTTCACATCATTGTAAAATAGAATTTTTTTGTGATTTATCTCATTGGTTCCTTTATTTTCTAAAAGGGACAACATTTCCCCCTTTTAAATGTACTTTTTGTTCTTCTTTATATCATGTAATGGTTGTGGCAAGTGGAATGGTTATGTTGTCTGAAGCGTAACTCTCATGACAGAAGACCATGTACAGACAGTATGCTCAGTGAAGCTGGACAGCCCTCAGGACCACTGCATATTTTTCCCACCATGGAGGAGATGTGATTCAGATGCATAAAACACAAAAGAGCATCTCCTTTTTCTCAGAGCGAGATGCAAGCAGATCCCATTGCCTATGTTGCCTTGGTTCAAGAGCTGGGAAACAACAGTCATGGGGACCTTTGATAGCAAACCTGTTCTGCTTGCAGGGGTCTTGTAAGGGATTTGTTTGCTTCCTGTAGATGAAATCCACTGCACTTAGAAAAACAGGTTCTTGTTCACTCTCCATGTTAGACTGACATTTCCCAATGTGCACCCATGGTCACAGGAGAGTATTAGTACAGCCAGCACTCATCAGCAGCATGCTGTGTGAGGGACTGAGTGACTGGTCAGCTCAAAAAGCCAGCTTGCCAGGGCTCCCTCACACATGTCAAGTCAGTGTCTCCACTTGCAGCTGCCACTGCAGTGGCCTGAGATGGCAGCTCGGTGCTCAGATAGAGCTGGCAAGGCTGCGGGGGAGACCAGTGGGAGATGTGATTCCTGTCAGCTGCTGGCCAAATCTTTAAAGACTTTTTTTCCCTGCCTTTTATCTGGTTTCATAAGCTACCTTTTTATGGTTTAATAGATCACTTGGGCAGTTTTGTTAGATGATTGTTTTAAATCCTTGGGTTTGCAATGTAATTCGCTAAAGGATTGCTGTCTTAGGGCTGGAGCAGGGAGCTGTGAGACTGAGCCATATTTGGGAAATGGTACACGGCAGTGGCTGGGAGAGCCCACACCACCTAGAAGAAATGGTCCTCCTGCTCTTGTGCAGATGGGGCACAGGAACTGTAAAGAAGTGTTGCAGTGATAATTCTGGACAGACTGCTCACAGTGGAAGAGACTAGAATGTCTGCAGCTGCATTGTTAAAAGTTACACAGGTAGTGCATTTACTTTTTCTGTTTAGAGAACCAGCAATAGTGAGCTCATCACCCTGTAATAAACAACTTAAGAAATGGAGAATTATCTCAGTATAGAGATGGAAAAGCTCAGACTTCTTACCAGCACTGTCGCATAATGTCAGGGAGATTGTGCATGTTTATAAAGTGCATTGCATTGGGAAATTTCTGTCTTTAACGTGGTTATCCTTCCTTTCCACCCTGTGATAAAAAGGTGGAAAAAAACCCAGCTGCTCAGTAAAATAAGAAGTGAGAGATCAGTGGGTTGCAGTGATCCAAAGTGAGCTAAAAATCCATGACAGAGAAGGACAAGACAATTTGCACACATTGCACAGAGCAACTAAATCCAAGCCCACACCTCTGCCTGTTGCTCAGGCTTCCACAGAAGAATATGATCAGTTGTTAGATCTCCTGTAGTCTTCAATATATTTATGGAATGAGGAGCTGCTAAACACTAGCTGTAGGTTCTCCCTAGGAAGTTGCAGATTCTAGAATGCATAAGAGAAAATAGCTTGGTGGCAAAGAACAGAGTAGGCTACAGATCAAAACAAATGTTCTAGCCACTGGTTTGTCCCATCCTGCAGCTAGATTTGGAGTGTAAATGGGCTGGACACACACTGCAGCCACAATTTTAGCAGAAATCTTCATGGTGCAGTCTCAGTAGGGATTTTCACTGTAGCAGTGCAAGTTGTCCTGTACTGTTGCAAATTGGAAGTCAGTCTTTGCTGATCTGAGCAACTGGCTCAGATTTCCAGTAGGTGCTTCAGAAATGCAGTGTTGTAAAATAGATTACTAGTGTATCATTCATGCCTTCAGTCTAGAGACTGTTGAAAGCAAGCCCTTTGCATTCTTACAATTAAAAAGTTAAGTTTGCTTCTGTAGCTATGCATGTCTCTCTTTTTCCTATGCCCAACCTTCTTTCTTCATTAACATTCAAAGCCTAGGAATAGTTATTCCCTGTTTGATTATATCTGTGGTGATCAGCTGAAAGGTAGCACTGTTGCTGTTTAGTGATTCCAAGATGTGAAAAGCAGAGAAAATGCTTCATACCAATTAGCTAACTGCAGTGGCAGCAGGGCTGTGGCTGTGTAATAGTCCTGTTTCAGGGAAGAGCTTCAGTTAAGAAGGCAGCTTGTGGTTTATTTTATCTCAGCATCAAAGCAATTTTTTCTCCTTCTGACCACCAGTTACTGAGTTTATACTGTTTTAAGGTCAAATACATGAAGTTGTCTTGACATGAGCAAGAGTGATAGTTGTCACTGGTATACAGGTGGGTTGTATGGCCAGCCTCGTGTGTTGTCCTTTGCCTCTGTCTGTGTGGCAATGAAAACTGGAAGTTATTTTCCAAAAATGTTATCCTCATGTTTCTGACCAGACACAGTTGTCTGACCACTGGTAAAGAAACCATTTGGAGACATAAAGACAGTAAAAAATTATTCATGTCTAGCAAAATGTCAATATAAATATCCCTGTCACCCACCATGTTGCCTGAGCCACAGCACCTTCCTGCCCACTCAGCACCTGTCCCACCTGCACCCTGCTGGTACTGGGTGCTGGAAAGAGGATCACTGAGAGTATGAAGGCTCTGGAGACCCCTTAGGCCCTTTAGTGTTGAAGGGCTACAAGGCTCCCACTTAACTCATCAGTCTCCTCATGGTCCTGGAAAAACACCAGTTAAGTGGGTTTGTTTCCCAAGTAGTTACAAAGAACTCATTAGGAGGACATGGAGTCTCCTTGGAAACCTTAAGATGTAGCAGTACAGGCAAACTGGTTGAGGTATGGTTTAAATCAGCAGAGTCTTGAGTTTATGCTAGTTGAAGTATTTAAGAGAGAACTGATGTTGAAAATCCTTATTCATGCGAGAGAATGCAAACCTTTTGATTATCATATCCATGATGTGCATTATTTTCCCTCTTCTTGTCTTAGGGCATACTTGGCTCATTCTGTCCTGCATAAATAGAACAAATGTCCCACAGCTGGATGTCAAATCTCATGGAAATGCTGTACATGAGCAGTATGAAACTGTGCCCTACCATGTGTTTTTTCTGAAGCAAGAAGGGTGACAGTTGCCAAATAGCTTTATATGAACGATTCTATTGCAAAATCTTGTGCTGTCCTTTGGATAGATAGCGCTGCACAAATGAGGATCTGTCAAGACTAAAAGCAAGTATGGAAATTAACCAGTAAAAATTGTTCCACACCAGGATGTAGCTCAAAGAATACTACATTTATGCTGTGTCAAAAGAAAACCAGCGGCCCTCATAGGACTACACCAAATAGTGTAAGAAAGCTGAATTAAGCAGTTCTTCTGTGTATAGACAGGTCATTGCTAATTACCCGTGATGGTGAAGATAAGGGAATTCTGCTTGGCTTGTTAACACACTGAAATAAGCTATGTGACTTCTGTCTGGCTTGGTTCTTCTAAAGTTTCACGTACAATGGCTTTAGGGCAGGAGAGGATATTTCACGTTGTATAATTCACTATAGATAAAACTGCTCATTGACTCTATAAAAGTACTTCCTTGGGCAAAGTCTAAGAGAAAGGTCCAAGGTGCCTTTTTTCCTCTTGAGCCCTTCAGTGTGTTCTCAGTCATTGTTTGGTCAAAGTATTTTGATTTGATTTTCCTGGTGTTTGGGATAATATCTTTTGTAAATCCAGGGATAACTAGGAGAAAAGCTGACTGTGTTAAAGGATTCTCAGCAGGAAAGTAAAGCTTAGCAAGGAAATTAGACAAGGGTATGTATTAAGTTCTGCTGCAATGAAACACCACTTTTTAAATTTGAAGATACACATAGTAAGTGCTCTCAGTGCAAACTGGTAACAGCAGTTTGGCTTAAGAGATGACCCTAAGAGAGAGACTCATTCAATGTAACTTCATACATAGGATGTAGCCGTCCACATCGGAACTAGTCATATAACTTCCCTGCACAGTCACCTCAGATACAGGCTTTTTCAGGACATTAACACATTGGCTTACTTGAGTGCATGTCTAAAGTGGAGATGGAATGTGTGCAAGTATCAGTTCCCCTCCATGAACAGAAAGGGAGTGCTGAGTGATTGTTCCAGTACCTGTAGCTGGTAAAATGAAACCTAATCTATGAGACAATTTCTGATCTTCATTTCTTCTTTCCAGGGTAGGCACTTTCTTATAATCTGGGGACTTCAGAGTGTTGCAATCTTTGCAGAATAATCCTGATGAGTGAATAATGTGTGCTAGCCTTTGGGGTGAGGGCCGTCTCTCTGTTTTGTGTTCATACAGCCCCAGGCACAGCAGGGTCCTGCCCCAGGATGGACCTCGTGTACACCACCACAACACAGATAATCAATAACAGCAGACTTAATTAGAACTCTGATCAGTCTCTCTTCCTTCCAATTCTCCGTGTTTTAAGTTCCTGCGGTGTCTAAATGAGGTTTGATAACAACTCTCTGTCTCTCATTCCTCCTATCCCACAGGAGCACATTTACAAGCTGATGAAGAGTGACAGCTATGCGCGCTTTCTGCGTTCGAATGCTTACCAGGACTTACTGCTGGCAAAGAAGAAGGTATCTGTTGGAAAGGACATGCTTGCATCTCTTAGCACGTCTTGATTCTCGCCTGCTGCTTGCTGCAAGTGTGAAAGTGAAAATATTGTTTGCATTTTTTTTCCTTTAAGAAGGGAATGAGCACTTTTATCTTCTTCACTGGGGGCATGGCATCCATGTGCACAGCCTCAGCATGAGTTTCGGGGAAAACATGGTGACTCAAGGTAAAAGTAGTGTGGGAAGGTGTTTATCTTGCACAGCTGTCTCCCAAACTCAGTGCAGACAATATAAATTATATTACCTCTTCCTCATGGAAAAGATGGCATGTGATATGAGAGGCAGAACCCATCAATCCTTTCATTACTGGTGCAAAATTCACCTGTTAAGGTTTTCACCTCCCTAGTCTCAGCATGTGATATTCTTTTTGGATGCCTTACCTATAGATCCCCCTGCAGCAATTCCCATACTCCTTTCCCTTGCTTTTGCCTCCCCAGAGATGCTTGCTTTTCCTCAGAGACAGGGAATAATTGCAATGCATGTAGTAATCAAAAATTCCAGCCGCATTGTCTCACAAGAAATCTGGGTTTGAGCTCTTCTTAGCCTTTTTGATATCTGCATGAGCTCTGCCAGCACTATGATTCTGTCAGAAGCCTCCAGATCAGGGTAGCAAAGGAGCAGTTATGTGAAATTACAACTCCTGTCCTCGAGTCCACTCTTTCTAAGGGGTCTAGGAGATAAGCTACTGATTGCTGCGTGTGTGGCTGTGCTCAAATGCTTCCTGCAACTCCTGATTAATTCCCATAGCTCTGTGTGTGTGTCTGTGTGCATGTGCATGCCATGTACATGTGTGTATGTCCTAATTGCATTTGGCTTCCAGGACTGTACATAAACTGACTCCTGACTCCTGAAGCCTGAGTGTGTGGTTTCCCATCACCATCTTCCCTGCTGTTTTTCTGCTGCATTCTCTGTGTGCTGCCAAATTACATTGCATCGGCACAATACAATGAAATCCCAGTGGTATTTTTGTCCTGATTGTCATTGTGTGCCCTAAAAGCATGCATATGGTGACAAAAGGAGACAAGCCCCTCTGTCTGCTGTGCCTGAGACTACTGGCAGGTGGATTAGCGAAAGGTAGTGGAGGGCAGCAGTCAGCCTTCTGTTTCAAAATGTCTGGTCTGAGACAGCATAAACCAGTGCTGCTTACATTTAGAAGGGTTGGACCTGACTTAGCTCAGAGACTGGGGAATGAAGAAGGCGTGAGGCAAAGTCTTCTGATGGTATAAACCATAAAAGCCCCTGCCATCTTCCTACCCCCAGCAGCTTATGGCCCCCCTACCGCCCAGTCTCCATTGAACACATGAGGGTTCGTGTGCTTGAAAGCCAGGAGAGCTTTCTCCTCCCAGCCAAACCCATTCAAACCAAAGGTTTATTTTTTTGCAATTGTTGTTTGCTGTCAGATCAAGCCCTGGATGTGTCAGCATGACATCCTCATCCCCCTGCAAACTGCCGCAGGAGCGGGTTTTGGTGTCATGTTAACGCAACCGTGAAAGTAAGAATCAAGTTTCTTTTAGAAAGAGCTGTTGGGTGCACAAGTAAACATATGAAGGCACAAAAAAGGCAGGAGTAGATCAGTGCAGATGTGCTGTTCATCAGCTGCACATAATGTGTGTGGGGGGGGGGGGGTTGGGGTTACTCCAGAATCTGTAAAGCTTTTTGCAACCACATTACACTGTGTTGGGCAAGTGAATGTTTTGGAAACAGTAGGTACAGAGATGAAGATGTTCTTTTTATCCGCTGCACATAATGGGTGTGGGGGGGGGGGGGTTGGTGTTACTCCAGAATCTGTAAAGCTCTTTGCAACCACATTACACTGTGTTGGGCAAGTGAATGTTTTGGAAACAGTAGGTACAGAGATGATGATAGAAAGAACATGACATTTCTGTATGCTGAGCCACATGGTCCTATCTTTAGGACGTTTGGTGCAGCTTTGAGAGGCAGCCTTTTAAAATTCCTCTAAATAGCTAGAAAGCAAGGGAATAAAAAGAGGAACCCAGTGACACATTAGAGCCTGCAAATAAAGTCCTGGATTTACCGAGGTAAATAGAAATTCAGTGCAGTTCTTTAAGTTGTGATGAGTACATCTCTCTGAGGCCTGTCTTTCCCCAAAGTCATTATCCTCACATGGCTTGTACACCACGCTGATATGACATAGCTTACTTTCATTACTGAAAATAAGTTCTGTCAGAAGCACAGCGTGATGGACGTGGGGTAAAAGAATTGCTTGCACTAAGCAAATAAACTACGGCTTCAGATTCCCACATTAATGTTTTGTGGATTAATTGGTGTCATTTAGGATCTTTTGCTCTCCAGCACTGGGTTATAGCAAACTAAAAGGGCAGGCAAAAGGAAAAGGTAGACTGTGTGGCTAGAGCACAGAACTGGGAGCCATAAAATCTGTATGCTTTTCCTGGTTACCCTACATGACTTCATGTGTGAGCTTGGGGAAAAAAGTTCAACCTTGCCTGTCCTATATCCTCCTCTTTTTCAAAGGGCAATAATAATAGTGACCTGCTCAGCAAGAGAGATGCCAAAGGTTGATTAGTGCTTCAAAACATACTTCACATTTCTGGTATTTGTAAAATACTGTAAGTTTGAAGAGTTACTTTCTTCCACACCATACAATAACCACAGATGTGAGAGTTTTCCATGCCTGCTCTGGGAGTACACTAATGGAGAGAGAACTTCTGGGTTGAGATTGAGATACAGTGACAGAATTATGAGGGGAACATATTGTTCACACCACTAACTGATGCAAGACAGCAGACATGGGCTGTGTACAGGCCAGACATACATATTTTGTTAATCCATTTTAGATGTTTTTTCTCCGTTCTTCCCAGTGTCATTATTGCAAGTAACCACAGTATTACTGGCCTCAATCCTGCAGATTCATGGTGCTCAGCAGGGAACATGAGGTTGGCCTCCAGCAAGGGTGTGATTAGAAGCAGTGAGCTGCAGAGGGGAAAAACTGGGTGTAGCCTTCTGTCTTGAACAGAAGGCCTCCTCCCTGCCAGGCTGGAGGAGAGATGAGAACACAGCCCTGTCCTCAGGAGGAATGGCCATATGCCCAGCCCAAGTGGAGCTTTGGGCCTCCATTCCCAGCCCCCTCTCTGCAGCAGGTAGAAATCATGGATCTGCTGGAGGTGTGTGGCTGGGCAGTGAAGGGCTGGACGTGCTGAGATCCCTGAGGGACTCGCTGCGTTTTATTTGTGTATCTATGCAACACACCCCGCTGGTGCTACGCAGAGTCAAGCACTGACCTGCTCCTGTTTCTGCTGATAGGCACCTTGCTGCAGGATACTTACAGCAGGTAATCACCACTGCATTGCCCTCCAGCCCTCCTCCACAGTAGCCAAAATGGTGGCTGGGTGTCCTTAGACAGCAGTGATCCACCTGTCAGGACAAGTGCTGTGATAAACTTCCTCAGTCAAGGCAAGTAGGCATTTTGGCAGGGTGACTTGGCTGCAGAGCAGGGGTTTATTCCCTGGGGAAAGAGCATTGTGGATTAGTTAGTGCACCATGGAAGGGGATGTGAGTGCACAGGAACTTTTGTTAATGGTGAAGAAGCAGCCAGACACGTGCTCTGCTAGTTATTTTTGCAGAGAAGGGAGCGAAAGGAACAGAAAAGACCTCGAGGTACTTTCCATTACTCACTGCAAAGGTGAAACAATGACATTGGTTGGCATCTCTGCATTACTGAAGCGGCAGCTGAACTGTCACAGTGCTGGTGTTCATGTCAGCCTGGGATGGGGTGGCTTCCTGTCACCCAGCCCTGCCCACAGGCAGGGAAGCATCCTGGAAAGACAGCCACAGCTGTAGTGCAGACAGGCTGCGAAGCTATGGGAGTGAGCCCTGCAGCACTGAGGGAAGAGCAGGTTGGTATTTTCTTGATTTAGAGTATTGTTTTGCTCTCCAGCTGGTTCAGTGTGAATTCACCGTGATCCTATTCAAATGAATACACAATATATGCAAAATACTCTGGCCATTTGGTAGCACTGTACATGCCCTTTGTTTTCTCACTTTGGACAGGTAGATGTGACTGGCTGAGAAGCCCAGGATCAGCTCCTGGCCTTTTCTGAACCCGGGGTCAGGGATATTATTATTCTTTATTTTTATCTGATCACATCCCCTCTGGAACACATTCTTTTTCATCAAGTTCAAAATAAACCCCACTTCACACTCCAAAGTCTCATACCAAAAAAAGAATTCAGTAGCCAACAAAATAAATCCATGGAGGGAGGGAGGTAAAGAATTTTGCAGACCTTATGTTCAGAAGACTGAGTTTCTATATGTATTTCACTTGCCCTTTTCAGATCCCTGGCAAAAAGTGTCGGCAAGGGGATGCTTAGGAGCTTCATGCCATGAGGAGCAGGCTCCATTTCCAGCACACACCTTTTGAAGCATTGCTTTTAACCACACCCCCTGTTGCCAGCTGCTCTGTATTGTTCAGGAATGTTCCTGTTGCAGATTATGCCCCCTTCTCAGTCCCATCAGGGCACACATGGCCAGTTCGGTTCAGTGGCAGGACTTGTCTTGAATGTTATAAAGGTGCTGAGCAATTTTCTCATAATTACTTTTAATAGTCAATGTCAGCTGGTTTTCTTAAGTTTTCTTCTACTTAATTTCCATGCAAGCAGAATCTACACAAAGGAACTTAAAGTTTGGATAGCTGGGTAAATGATTAAAAAAAAAAGGAAAATTCAGAGAAGCCAGTCAATAATTAGTGAATGGCTTCTATGTGGTGAGCTGTATTTTTCTGTTGTCTGCCTGGGCTGAGAGATTTTCGTCTGATGGTTGTTTCATATTTTATCCAAATGCATATGTCCTTTGCCATTAGCTGGTGGAGTCTGTTGGTGTATTTACTGGCAAAGATTGTATTTTTTGCACCTGGGAGGACTGCATGATTTGGCATGCACTTGTGTTTGTCTGCCTTTGCCCCTTTGCACACACAGTGTATGTTTGTGCAAAGGCTGCTGTGGCTGCTGCAGCAGGCAATGGCTCCGGGGTCCACACCCCAGGTCTGTTCCCAGGACTGGGATAGGTGTGATTCACTCTTTCAATTATTTTTTTCCTTTTTGCACTTTGTTATTTTTAAATTTCCTTCATCTGGTGTGCAAGGCAGCCTCCCCAGCTCAGCCCCGTGCTGCAGAGCTGTGGGCAGGCATTCCCTGCACGGCAGGCAGCCAGCCACACGGGCAAGCAGACAGGAAGAGCCAGCGAGCTGAACAGCCAGCACCCACACCCACGGACATTCAGACTGCTCAAGCCAGCTCATCACTCTGCAGCCAGCCTGCCTCAGCTGCTTTTTATTTCACTAGAAAATGTCATGCTTTGACTCAGAGCTGGATGCCATGGGGATGAGCTTTCCACGCATCCAGCTGGTCCCAGCCTGCCACCGCCATGCCAAATGTGCAGAGTGACTGTAGACCGTGCTTTGCAAGGCGCTTCTGTGAGACACTGGCGGTGCTCTGGGGGCTGCTTCCCCACACCTCCTCAGCTGAGGTAGGCAGCAAACAGCCTTGTGTGGGGGCCCCTGTGCCAGACAAGCTCTCAGCACCTCAACAAGGTGCTCATGGTCTTTAAAGACCACCATCCTGCCTTTCTGCTGGGTGGGAAGATGCATCACCCTGCTCTGTAACAGAGATACTAAATTTTGACAGTGAGTGCAGGGGTACAATGTGGCCTGTATAGCAGCTCGCTGTCCTTTGACCCCAGTGCACACCAGAACTCCACTTCAAAATGCAATTGGGTCAGACACTGACTTTCCAGCCTGCAGCAATATCATGCCATAGACTCCAAGTGCCTTGCTCCCCTGAGCCTTGCAGAACACTCAATCTTTTGTTCAGGTATTTCTTCTCCTGAAATTGTGTCTTTAACTTGGCTGCTGGTGGGTCTTACGACCTGTGTAGAGGCTCAGTGCCCAGCTGGGCACTGCCTTCCTCAGTCCTGCTCACTGGGACATGTCCAGCCAAAGTAGCAGGAATGCAGCTCCTTTCTGTCACCTCTGCTGTCTTGGGGCGTAGGGACACCACTGAGGCTACTTCCAAGAGGGAATCTGTGATGCTCTGAGCACATGCATGGCTCTAATATTCAGCCAAAGAGTGGGGCTGATGTTTCTTTTGCCTTTTCTCTCCTCTCACATGCAAGGAGAGGCAATTAACCATTGGATTAGTGCATGTTAAATAGTCCTTTGGGGCCCATTGGACTGGGTACGTCACTGCCTTCCTGCCAGCCAGGAAGGCTCCTTTATTCCTTGGTACTTGCTCTGAGGCCTTGGCTCCATCCTCTGTGTGGGCTAAAATGATGTGCCTCTAGCTTTCACTTTTGATAGAACTTTGGGACATCAGAGCTGATTCTGTGGCTTCCTCAAATGGTTATAAGTGTGGAGGTTGCTTATTTCTTTCTTCTGGATAAAGAACATTTCTTGTCTTAAAAGGGCCTTATGTTTTGATTTCATATTTGGTGATGCAGCAGGGACAATCTGCCCCATTTCTCCATGAGATGCTTAAGACTAACCTTGTAGACATCAGAGAACAGTGAAAGCTGTGGTAAACATGCAGAAGAATCAAAAGGCTTTGCCTAGACTCAGCTACACAACTTCTCATCCAATTTATCTGGTCTGGTTTTGGCTTCTTTGTCTTCTCTACCTGATTTTTGCACTGGTCCTTTGCCCCGGGGATTGTTACTGCAGCTGAATGTGTGGCAAATGGTATGTCAGGTAGGTGCCTCTCCAGTGCAGTGCTTGTTTCCAGTGCACTGTGATGCACCACATTACTTTGGTTTTCCCTTACATGTAGCTCCTTATTCCCTTCGTGGCAGTTTTATTTCCATCTTACCACCCCCATTTTGCTGGCTCACCACATTAAAATAAGTGTCTCTCCTGGAAATCTGCAGTGCCCACAGCTTTCTGACTACAGTGAGCTTTCTTTGGTAGCATTGAGTTTCTTCTCTTCTCTATAACTATTTTTTTCTCTTAGATATTCCAGCAAACATGCCAATAAATTATTTAGTTCTTCCTTGTTAGTGGCGATTAGATCTCCCTTGTGCCAAATGAACGAAGTGCTGCAGTGAGCAGCCTTCTCAGGGATATGTTAATAAAGCCATGATGCACACATTTGTTTTTCTCACAGTGCAATTGAATGTCTTCTTGCATATGAATAGTCCTGTACTCCAGGTACAAAAATATCAGTGCCCCGAACTGCTCTGTATCTTTCCGTCGTCTTGCAAAGACATGCATATGCTGTCTTGTGTTTTGACTTACTGGAAATATGCCTCTACTCTTTGGATAAATAGAAGAGTGTAGGTTCAGTGGCAGTGAGTGCAGTGGTGGTTTTCTTCCAGTGCTGTATCCACTCAGACATTGCTTTTTAATATTGTAAAAGCTACTGTGGTTTTTCCATCTCTCTACACAAGTAGATGGGAGCCTGTGATAGCTGTTTGGCAGATGTTAACCAGAATCAGATGTCTCAGCTTGAACAGTAACAAAAGGAAAATTCAGTGAACAAGAAATCAATACCAACAGCTGTAAGACACAGCAATGCACAGATATATATGGACCATTCAGAAAACTCACAGTGGAAAAGTGACATTCTCTGAGAGTACAGGTAGTGATGTCTCTCATTCTTTAAGGCGTTTTGATTTCTTATGTTTGCTATTGCAAACATTGATTTCTGCTTTTTACTTTTTTTACAACTTTTTCTTCTTGCTGCTTCCTTATATTTTGCTGCTGTTTTAAAAGACTGCATTTAAGCTGAAGGGTTTTTTTCTGTATTTTTATCTCCCTACTTCGTTCCCTGTTAAGCCAGAGAATGAGCAAGGTCGTAGAACTTCTCTAGAAAAGTTCACTCGCAGCGTGGTAAGTTCCTTTTCTTTTCCCTCCTCCCTTTCCTCAGAACTTGGTGAGTTTTCCATTTTCAGCTGGGGGAAATGTGGATGCTTGACTTTTTATTTCATCCTTTATTTTTGCAGCTAGCATCTCGGCAGCTTCTCTCTTAATACCGTAGCTCATCTAAATAGTAGCTCTAAAGAAGGGGCTGGGGGTGGGGGAGAAATGGCATAATGCTTATTCTAGCTTATCATCATTGCAAAAGCAAATCAATTTTTTTGTCTAGAATTAAATACAAAGTTGCCTTTTTGCTACATTCCCACTACAGTGTTTGTTGTGGCTTTTCCTTGCACAATGAAGTAGAAGAGCATGGTTCTCATAGCTCCATTGCAACAGTATCTGTGCGGTTCCTAGTGCATGGATAACGATACCCCACATACGTATCCACCCACAGCACTGCAGCCGCTTCCTCTGTTGCCCCCATCTGTCAGTGCTCATGTAAATAGTGATGTGCGATACCCTTTGCCTCATTGATGATACCGATACCGGAAAAGGAGCACAGTCACAGCAGGAAACATGACACTCTTACATCTTTTAGACAAGGAGACAGCGGGACCTCAAGGGCAGATGTTCTCCCTCTTTGTCCTTCATTAATCTCCAGTCTCCAGCCGGTGTGTCCAGAGCTTGGGCAAGGCCTGCTTGCCACACTTGCATTCAGGAATCTGTGCAGCAGTTTTTGTACAGGGCAGGAAAAGCAGGGAGAGGGGGCAGGACCAGAGGCAGATACTGCAAGTGGAGTGGAGTAGCAGGGATACTGGACAGCACAGACTGTGTTTTGAGCTGTATCAAAAGCAGCATGACCAACAGGTTGTGAAACGGGATTCTGCTCATCTACTCTGCTCTTGTGAGACCCTCACCTGGAGTGTTGCATCCAGCTCTGGAGTCCCCAGACCAGGAAAGACATCAACTGAATCCAGAGGAGGACCACAAAGTTGATTAGAAGAATAGAGTACCTCTTCTACAATCAAAGGTTGAAAAAGTGGGTTTGTTCAGTCTGAAAAGTGAAGACTTTTGGGTTATTTAATTGTGGCCATCCAGTACTTTAAAGGAACCTACAAGAAAGACAAGAGGGACTTTTTACAAGAGCATGTTGTGACAGGACAAGGGCGAATGAATTCAAACTAAAACAGAGTAGATTTAGATTGGATGTTAGGAAAAAATCTTTACTGTGAGAGTGGTGAGGCACTGGAACAGGCTGCCCAGAGAACCTGCAGATGCTCCATCCCAGGAGGTGTTCAAGGACAGGGTCGATGGAGCTCTGAGCAACCTGGTCTAATAAAAGTTATCCCTGTCTGTAACAGGGAGGTTGGAACTAGATGATCTTTAAGGTTCCCACCCAAAGCATTCTATGAGTCTGTGACATTCTTGCATATGTGTATATATATATATGTATATTTATATGTACACTACATACACACACATGGCATATAAATATAGCACCTTTGTAAATCCTGAGAGAAACAGGAAGCTGTGCAGGTAAGTGTGAGCTGCTTTAGAGCAAATAAGCCAAGAGCAGTTCTTCCTGACACTGCTGTGCTACTGCACAAGCAAACCCAAATGTAACATACAGGGCTTTGTAGTACATCCACTGGCAGACTTCCTGGGGAATGTATTTATATAGCTAATGCATATGCACACATTTAAAATATGTTGATACAAAATACATCACTATGCCCATCTGCATATTTACTACTTTCTAAGAGTCTGCCAGGGAGAGGAGTAGGAAAGATTTTAAAAAAAATTTTTTTAAAACAAACTATGCAGAAATATTTACATCAAGTGGTAAATTCTGCTCCCAGATTTGCCAAGTACGTGGAAGAGTAACTCTCACTTTACTAGACTGGCTGGGTTTATAGTTGCACAGCCAAGGATGGATTTTTCTCTTGCATTTGATTTGAAGGGTAACTTGACAAGCTAAGTTTGGGATGCTATGATTAGAATGTAAGGAGCTCTAAAGAAAATTGTAGTAGATTGGTTGGCACTTTAGTGCATTTTTGTCTTACTGGCGAGAATGCTGTAAATATTTTTTTTTTTCATTTCTCTTAATACAGATATAAAATCTCATCTTCTGATGGCATGGTAATTACCAGAACTTGGAAGAGTCTGAATTTTTTATACTTTGCATTATGGCAGTTTGTCATTGCCATCAGATGAGAAAACAGTCACTATGTCGACATGTGATAATGTCCTCAGAGGACAGTAACACCAGTGAGAACTTTATGGCATAGTCAGGGGACTCAATTAAGATGAAGTTAATTCTGTATGCTCTGGTTCTCCAATATGCATTGCAGCTCCCTGACTGTGTAGGAGTGGAGCAGTTCAGCAGTCCATACTTCCAGAGCTCCACTGTGCTTTGTGATTGCTCATTACAGATCACATGTTCAAGCTGGCCCTGCATAGGCATGAAGAAGTTCAGTGTATGCTTAAGGTTTGGCTGGAACAGACCCCCAGTTTGTCTCTCTTCAAGGGAGGAACACTGAGCCTATTTTGCCAGCAGATTATTATGAGGTCACATTTCCAGTGATGGCTGTAAGACAAATCTCAAAACAAGTAAGGGCTAAAAGTTTATTTGCCTTAAGGAGCCATAGTTGAAGTGAAATTATCTCCCAGTTTGACTGAACTATTAATTTCCTGTAGATCTGGGCAGTTGGACTCCAGACTTCTCTGCCTGGCACTGGGAGGCCCAGTAGACCCCTTGGAAAATTTTCAGATTTAGCTATAGCATGTGACCCAGTATTTTGGGAAATCACAGAATACAGTTGGAAGGGACCTCCAGAGATCACCTAGTCCAATTCTCCTGCTAAGGCAGGGTCACCTAGAGCAAGTTACACAGGAATGTGTCCAGGTGGATTTGGAATGTCTCCAGAGGGAGCCTCTGTGGTCTCCTTGTGCAACCTATTCCAGTGCTCTGCTACCCTCAGTGTAAAGAGGTTTATGGGACATAAGTCTGCCAAGCCAATCTCTAACCCAGCCCTCTATATCCAAGGAGAAGTCTCCTTTTCTCTACCCTTCCTCTCTTACTTCCAAAGTCTGGGATTCCCAACCTCAGCACTAAAAAGTGAGACATTCAGTAACTGGACCTTCTCTGTGTCTTCTGTCACCAGGACATGCATCTGATTCAGCAGCAGCCCCTCATTTTCCCAAATTTTTCTTTTGCAGCTGATGTACTTTAGAAACCCTTCTTGTTGTCCTTCATATCCCTTGCCAGACTTAATTCCAAATAGGCTTTGGCTCTCTTTGTCACATCCACATATACTCTGACTGTTCCTTCAGTCCTCCCATGTGGCCACCCCCCTTTTCCAGAATTTGTTTGAGATTTATTAGAAACTCCCTGCTCATCCAAAAGGGTCTCCTGCCCCCTTTGTTTGATTTCTTGCTCATGGTGATACACTGGTCTTGAGCTTGTAAAAAGTGATGCTTGAATATTGACCAGCTCTCTTGGACCCCCTTTCTTCTAGAGCCCTTCCTTTTACATCATTGTACTCAAATCTGGGGAACACTGCAGGTGGCATAGAGCCAGAGCAAGAGCATGGAGGTAGAGGTTCATGATCCTTTCCTTGCTGGAAATACTGTATGTACAGTGTTGCTTTCCATATCAGAGAAAGCTGACTTGTAGCCAGAAGACCAGACACATCCAGCATCTTAGAGAGTCTTCACCTGAGTGAAAAAAATCAGACTCTCTAAGTTTGCCTTTTCTGGTTTCTTATTTCTCACCATCTCTTGATTGACAAAGACAGGAAAAAATGCAACATTTCAGAAAGAGAAACAAAAGAGAAACAGTAAAGCTTTGTGTTGACAAACTACAAAGAGTATTGCAGGCTTTTTATCTCTTACTTGAGTTAAGCCCCACCTGTGAAAAATCTTACAGTGCTCCCAAACTGGTCTCCTGCACTGGGTGGAAAGCTGTACACCTGGTTTTAGGAGCACAACTTGGAGCAAGTGGAAGTTGTTTTATCCACCTGGCTCCTGCTTATGTTAGTCATAACTCAGGAGTCAGGGATTAGCTCCAGACCATTTGACATACTTTAGCAAGACACCATGAAGTTCTGCTAGGCAACCAGAGGCTTTCCACCTTCACATGGATCAATGAGGAAAGAACAGGGCTTTACATGATTTTTTTATACCAGTCTTCAAGATCCATTGTCTTGTCTTCCTTGGCTTGATATTTTTGACCAACAGAAGGCATCTCATGACTAATGAATGGACCAAGTTTTTGCACCACATCTTTCTGAAAGCCATGTGCTGTCTGGTCCACATTAAGCATGACACTAAGAGCAAGGTTTTGACAGGGCAATTTTCACTGTGGTGATGGTTCACCTTTACTTCCAGGTCCTTGCAAAGTATCAGCTGACACCTTAGCACCTTAGTGCGGTAGCCAAAAGGACCTGTGCCTGCTGTGGTCAGGTCCTTCTGTACCAAACGACATGGTTTGCAGTGCCTGTCTGGATTCCCCTTGGAGTGAGGGAACATCTGTCTGATCCAGCCCCCAACAAGCCAGGCACCCTCAGCCTCCTCAACTCACCTGACAGAAGTCTGAAGCTGTGATGTCCATGTGTTTCATGGCAGCTTTGTAGTCGCAGGACCAAACATGGTCATCAGTCATCTGGTGAGCATCAAAGGGCCACATCTGCATGGTGGCTCAACAGAACACTACAGGGCACATGCTGCCCAGCGCTGCTGGAGCAGAGGGGTGGCAGATGTCTTTTCTCCTCTCTTCAGGTTTTGAAGAGTCCTCAAAAATACATAGGCAGCATGGTGGTAGGATAAACATCACAGTACCTGGCCCCTTTGGCCCTATGTCAGGCTCCCATGCTCTGGAATCACAGGCATAAACTAGGCTGGCTCTTCCATGCTCTCCAGGGTGCCCTGGGGAATGGTCAATATCCTGGAGTTGCAGAGCTAACAGTCTATTGTTTGGGAGCACTTACTAATCCATCTCATTTCAAAAAGGATGGCACTGTGCATGGTGG